GTCTATAGTCTAGTCTATAGTCTAGTCTATAATCTAGTCTATAGTCTAGTCTATAGTCTAGTCTATAGTCTAGTCTATAGTCTAGTCTATAGTCTAGTCTATAGTCTAGTATATAGTCTAGTCTATATCATTTCGTTTGTAATTTCTACAATATAATATCCGTCCCCATAAGGTATATAAATATATATTGAAGATACTTATAGATAACGGAGTCGATTGAGCTTTGGCCGTCGGTCTTTCTGTCTGTTTGTTGAAATCAGTTTTTAAAAGACTCTAGATATCTTCGAGGTATACTCTGACTTGTTAAAGTTTTAAAAGAAAATTGCTTGCTGGGTTTTATGATAAGCCGTTGTACTTTTTAATACCCCTAAAATGTTTGATGACATTTAACAGAAAAAAATCACCTTATTTCTTATCTAAAATTAGCAAATAATACTGATAATTTCCCCTTAAATTTGTGTTTTTTTTTTTTTTTTTCATTGGAATTAAAAACATAATAATCTTTAGCTGTATGACAAATTTGTCATGTTTTTTTTTTTTATAATACAACATTTTTGCCGGTATTAAAATACATTGGTACTTTTTTATGTATTAAGTCTATAGATAAAATGGATGTTGTTGTTGGTGTTTCATTAAATTACAAAAAATAATAAAAAATCAATATTTATTAATATAAGCCACAGTCATGATTACAAGAGAGTTTATTCAGTAACATTTGAAAGTTAATGCTTTTGAAAATATTTAAGTATAATTTATTACAAAAATAGAATATTTTTTAAAGATTTTTTTTAAATATAAATTTTGTTACTAATTTTATAAAATTATTAATGAAGAAATGGTAAAGAAAATGTTTTATAACAATTAGAATGAAACTTCCTAAGTAACGGGAGAATAACTTTTGAAATTTAAGGTTAGAAGGACCAATTTGAAATTATATATGAGTTAACTAAGCAAAATACTTGTAACTACGTGTGTATAAACTATTATCTTAAAGTGTCTACTTTATGTCATCGAGCTCATTTTTGTCTCTAACCATTTTTACGATATCATGTGAACGAAATACAATCAGCTGATTCAATTTTCGTCACAGAGTTTTGAAAAAAATTGCTAAATATTTATTTATCAAAAAACACTTTCAGCTTCATTTGTCTAAATATTTTGTTTTGACTTGATTTTTCCAGTATCAGATGACGTTTGTGTTCGATTAATTTCATTGTTTATATTTTCACTTAAATTTTACGAGTACTTGTAATCGAATTCGTAATTGTATGTACTACAATAAATAAAATTAATAATTTATTGTTTATTATTAATTTTATGGTCGCAAGCGATAACTGACTAAGTCAACTTAAGAACGATTTCAATAACTGTATATACATTTAAGCAAAAACTCTTCTTAGAGGATGTATGCAATGATAACTATAAACAGAATAGGTTTTCTATAAATAAGTTTACTCAGTAGTTGTTTTCTATAGTAAACTGTTCTTAAAATAAATTTTCTTTGAAAAAAAAACTATTTTCAGAAAAAGTTTTCTATATAAAAGTGTTCTTAGAAAGTAACTGTTCTTCTTCTGAAGTTTTTTTTTTATAGAAAACTATTTTTGTCAAAAAATATATTTAAATAGTAAAGTGTTCTTCAGAAACTATTCCCAGGGGAAGTTTTCTATGGAAAAACGTTCTTGAAAGAAAATTTGTAAAGAAAACTGTTCTTGTAAAAAATTTCTAATCAAAATTGTAGTCAGTAGATGTTTCTGAAGATAATTTTCATTAAAAAACTGTTCTTTTAAATTTCAGAAATTTTCTATATAAACATGTTCTCGAAAAAGTCTTCAATAGAAACGTTTTTTATATCAAGATATACATATTTTTATAAAGTAAAGTGTTAGTAGACTATTCTCAGAGAAAGTGTTCTATTAAAAAATTTTATTAAAAAAAAATTTAAAGAAAACTGTTCTTGTAAGAAAAATGCTATTAAAAACTGTACTCAGTATATGTCTTTATGGTAAACTGTTCCCAGATGATAAAAAAAATTTTCTTTCATATTTTTCTATAAAAAAATGCAGATTTGAGAAGTTTTCTATATAAACATGTTCTCAGAAAAAGTTTTCCTTAGAAAACTGTTCCCATGTTTTTAATGGAAACCTGTTCCCATGATTTTAATGGAAACCTTTCTCAGTATCAATCCTTAGAAGCTTTTTTTTTATCAACAGAAGCTTTTTACACAAAGTTGTTTTGGGGGGGATTTTCTATCGAAGAATTTGTCTCGGAAGCAAGCTTTTATAGAAAACTCTTAACAGAAAAAGTTTTCTATAAAAAGCTGTACTTAGTAGATGATTTCTTTAGAAAACTGTTCCCATTCATTAAAAAAAAGTTTTTCCTGCCAAAAATTTGTATACAAAACTGTTTCCAAAAAATGTTTTCCAAAGAAATGTGTTCTGAGAAGAAGTTCTCCTTATCACACTGTTTCCAGAAAGACATTTTGTATACAAAACTGATTCTAAAAGATATTTTCCAAAGAAAACTGTTCCCAGAATGAGTTTATATTGAAACAACTCTCATAAAAAGTATTTTAAATTTTCCTTAGAGTAAGTTTTCTATAGAGAACTGTTCTCAGATGGGATATATTAAAAAATTAGTTTGCAGAAGAAATTTTCTTTATTACAAAACATGTTTTCTAATGAAAAGTGTTCTGAGCTGATGTTCCCCTTATCAAACTCTTCCCAGAAGGACATTTTGTATACAAAACTGTTTCTAAAAGATATTTTCTAAAGAAAACTGTTCCGATAAAAAGTTTTCCTTAGCAAACTATTCCCAGAATATGTATTTGTAGAAACAATTTTCACAAAAAGTATTTAAAATTTTCCTTAGAGTATATTTTCTATAGAGAACTGTTCTCAGAAGGAAATTAACTAAAAAACTGTTCCCAAAATGAGTATTTATAGAAACAATTCTCATAAAAAAAGTATTTTACATTTTCCTTAGAGGAGGTTCTCTATAAAGAACTTTTCTTAAAAGGAATGTATTAAAAAATCAGTTTTCAGAAGAAATTTTCTTTTATACAAAGCTGTTTACAAAAGATATTTTCTAAAGAAAAGTGTTCTGAGAAGAAGTTCTCCTTATCAAACTATTCCCAGAAGCACATTTTGTATACAAAACAGTTTCTAAAAGGTATTTTCTAAAGAAACACGTTCTGAGAAGAAGCTTTCCTTAGCAAACTGTTCCCAGAATGAGTATTTATAGAAACAATTCTCATAAAAAAGTATTTTACATTTTCCTTAGAGGAGGTTTTCTATAAAGAACTGTTCTTACAAAAGATATTTTCTAAAGAAAAGTGTTCTGAGAAGAAGTTCTCCTTATCAAACTGTTTCCAGAAGGACATTTTGTATACAAAACAGTTTTTAAAAGATATTTTCAAAAGAAACGCGTTCTGAGAAAAAGTTTTTCTTAGCAAACTGTTCCCAGAATGAGAATTTATAGAAACAATTCTCTTCTCAGATGAAATATATTAAAAAATCTGTTTGCAGAAGAAATTTTCCATAAAAAATAGTTTTTAGTAAATGTTTTTTTAGTAAACTGTTCCCAAGAAATAATTTCAATAAAATAATTGTTCTTAAAAGAAAATTTTTATCCAAAAAAGTTTTCTGAAGATGTTTTCAAAAGAAAAATTTTCTGGGAAGAAGTTTTTCTTAGCAAACTGTTTCCATAAACAAATTTTTATAGAAAACTACTTTCATAAGAAATATTTTATAAAGATCTGTTCTTAGAAGGAGATTTCTATTGAATATTATACTTAGAAGAAGTTTTCTATGAAATATTATTCTTATCAGTTTTTACTCAAAACTGTTCTCTTATGAATTATTTTTTTAAAAACTGTTCTCAAGGGAAGTTTTGTAAAGAAAACTGAAAGTTAGCAAAGTTCCTATAGAAAACTGTTAACGGTAAAAATCTATCTGTCTATAACAACTCTTCCCATATAATAATTTTCATAAAAAAACTATTCTTATATGATTTTTTCTTTAAAAACTACTTTCAGACCAAGTTTTCTATAGGAAAATTTTCAATGGGAAAGTTTCCTTAACAAAATGTTTTATAAATAACTTTTCTCATAAGAAGTATTTTATAAAATTCTGTTTTTATAAAAAGTTTTTTTTTAAAGAAGTTTTCTACAGTAAATTTTTTCATAGGAAACTGTTCTCATCAGACACTTTCTAGGGAAAGCTTTTCTAAGATGTGAGGATGACTTTTTCCTCAAACAATTATTTTGCAGTTAGGCTATTATTGCCACTGATCACAGAATTTTTTTTAGATACTCATCAATAATATGTACATTTTATTGCAAATTTATTTATACTCTTCCATACTAAATATGCACTCAAATTTTGTTTTAATATTAACATTTTATACGTCAATAATTTCTTTGTTATCTATAACTCGTCATGATTAAATGTCAGAGAATGTTTTATACTTTTAACGAATATTTATTTGTTTATTATGTATTGTAGAGTATAAATAAAAAATATTTTTCAAAATAATAATTTTGCTTAATTTCAAAATATATCACACCAGTATAATTTAACAGTAAAAATCCTATTAGACTTAAAAAAATAGGAATTTTTACGAAATATTATTAAATAAAATAAATTTATTCGTGTATTTATATGTTTTAAGGTAATTTTTTTTGGTATTTTTTCACTCTTAATAACAAAACTCTATACTATGTTCTTCCCAAAAGGCTTCAAATAATATCTTTTATAAGCGAGAGAGTAAACTTTAAAGTAAATATATAGTAAACGCTTACCCTCTGCCTTACCGAAGTTATGATTTGGAAATAAACTGGCTTGTAACATAAATTGTCTTCTCTTTAAAAATTGGAGTCTTAAAAATGTCATTAGGAACAAATGTGATTTATAAATTAATTTTTTTAAATAAATTATTATTAAATTAAAATATATTTTATTCTTTTTATATTAAATTTTTGTTTTCTTTTCTTCTCTTTTTAGGTAAGAAACTTGGAAGATTACTATCAATATATACCACAGGTTTTTATCAAAATTTTAGTATGCAATTTAATTTAATTGAATTTATCAAATCATTAATTTAAAAATTTTTAAGTGTTAATAATTATCTTATCTGAAGGACAAAATTACCAAATTATTGAACTCTGAAACGATTTTTAAAACATTTATTTAAAGTCAACTGAAAAAATTATTTCAATAAAAACTTCTTCGAAAACATTTTTAAGAATAAACTTATTAAAACTAATTGTTCGATGAAAGACAAAGAAAACTGTTTGAAGAAAATCAGTCCGAAGAAACATTTTTCCATATAAATCAGTTCGAAAAAGGATTATTTTATAGAAAACTTTGTGAAGAAACTTTTTTTTATTTATGCAGAATTTTATGTTGATACTAGTGTTTAAAAGTATATAATTGACCTTGATGTCATTTTCTGAATGGGACTATGTATGGGTGTAAGGTCCGAATGAGGCCCGATCATTACGAGAGAGAGGCTTATTTTTGTACAGATTCTGGAAAATTTTACATAATTAGGAGCACAAGAGCTCTTTTCGAACCGATTTCTACAATTTCAACGAACGCTATTGAAGTTCGTTCTTGGACCGAAAGAGGTGTACCTGCCAGAATTAATCAAATTGTATTGAAAATTGCGACTTGTAGCGTGCGCACAAACTTTAAATGGACACACAGACGGAGAGACATATAGATAGATAGATAGATAGATAGATAGATAGATAGATAGATAGATAGATAGATAGATAGATAGATAGATTAGATAGATAGATAGATAGATAGATAGATAGATAGATAGATAGATAGATAGAGATAGATAGATAGATAGATAGATAGATAGATAGTAGACAGATAGATAGATAGATAGATAGATAGATAGATAGATAGATAGATAGATAGATAGATAGAGATAGATAGATAGATAGATAGATAGATAGAGATAGATAGATAGATAGATAGATAGATAGATAGATAGATAGATAGATAGATAGATAGATAGATAGATAGATAGATAGATAGATAGATAGATAGATAGATAGATAGATAGATAGATAGATAGATAGATAGATAGATAGATAGATCGATAGATAGATAGATAGATAGATAGATAGATAGATAGATAGATAGATAGATAGATAGATAGATAGATAGATAGATAGATAGATAGATAGATAGATAGTAGATAGATAGATAGATAGATAGATAGAAGATAGATAGATAGATAGATAGATAGATAGATAGATAGATAGATAGAGATAGATAGATAGATAGATAGATAGATAGATAGATAGATAGATAGATAGATAGATAGATAGATAGATAGATAGATAGATAGATAGATAGATAGATAGATAGATAGATAGATAGATAGATAGATAGATAGATAGATAGATAGATAGATAGATAGATAGATAGATAGATAGATAGATAGATAGATAGATAGATAGATAGATAGATAGATAGATAGAAGATAGATAGATAGATAGATAGATAGATAGATAGATAGATAGATAGATAGATAGATAGATAGATAGATAGATAGATAGATAGATAGATAGATAGATAGATAGATAGATAGATAGATAGATAGATAGATAGATAGATGATAGATAGATAGATAGATAGATAGATAGATAGATAGATAGATAGATAGATAGATAGATAGATAGATAGATAGATAGATAGATAGATAGATAGATAGATAGATAGATAGCTAGATAGATAGATAGATAGATAGATAGATAGATAGATAGATAGATAGAAAAACCGTTATACAACTGAAATTTTAGAAGATGATGTTCTTCTATAGAAAACTGTTCGTTAGGGAATTATTCTACTAAGAACTTTTTAAAGATGATATTTTCTTTATAGAAAAGTGTTCGATGTATATTTTCTACAGAGAACTGCTTAAAGATGAAAAATTAGTTTTCAATAAGAAAAATGTTCTAAAAAGTTATTTTCTTTTCGAAAAAGAAATTTTCCATAGAAAAAAATAATAAATTTTCTAGAGAAAATTGTTTAAAAATCAAGCTCTTTTATAGAAAACTTTTCGAAAATATGTTTTCTTCGTACCCATCACAGGTAAATTGTTCTATAGAAAACTGTTCTCAGATAAAGTTGTCTTTAAAAACTGTTCTCAGAAGTTTTGTATAGAAAACTGTTTCACAAAGAATATTCCCATGAAAATCTGTACTACGAAAAGGTTTCCTATAGAAAAATGTTCTACGAAGAATTTTTCTATAAAAATTCTACCAAATGTTTCAATGAAATTCTTTTATATAGAAAACTGTTCTACAAAGTAGATTTCTATAGAATAATGTTCGGCATTATATATTTTCTGTTCAATTTTCGAAAATTATTCGTAAAAGAAAGGTAATATTTTCTTTATAGAAAACTGTTCGATGAAAAATATATCTATAAAAAAACTATTCTAAGAATGAATTTTCTGTTCAAAGAAGAAATTTTCCATACAAAACTGTTTAAAATAAATAAATTTTCTACAGAAAACTTTTTAAAGACTTTTTAAAGAAGTTTTCTATAAACAAATTTTCAAAGAATATATTTTCTATAAAAAAAAACTCTTCTAAAAATTATATTTCTTTAGAAAACTATTTTCAAATTATTTTTTTACTATTCTGCAAGTACGTTTTCTATAGAATATTTTATTGCAAATATTTAAAAAAATCTTTATTTAGTTTTTTTTTTTTCACTACACTTCTCGCCTCAATAAAAATCAATCAAATTTATAAAATCTCAAAATATTTTCAAAAATTTTCAACAAAGTACTAGTTTTTCGACTGCAACAATTTAATAAATTGAAATTCTAAAATTGCAAACAAAAATTTCTTTGAAAATCTACACAAGTTTTCGAAAATAAAAAAAAACGGAAAATTTTTTGCAAAAATTCTTTAAAGTAAATAAAACGCATAGAAAAAATCAAATAAATCTACAATTTGTAGTTTTGAGGCTATTTACTCATTGTAAACAATATTGTTTTCTTTTTATAATTTGTTTTTATTACTTTTCTTAAAATGATAAGTTTTTATTTCTACTAATTTTTTTGCAAACAAACGAGTGAACATAGAAAATAAAGAAAAATTTAATAGAATGCAATATAACTCATTATGAGAGGCATAGACATCATGTTGTTCAAGAAAAAAAAAAGCCGGCCCAGATATTTGAGCATGATGATTACATATTAAAACTAAATATGTATGTTCAAACCCAGTAGTTTCTCAAAGTGATTGGTGTAAAGAAATTTTGTTTAATGTCAACTTGGTTTATGTCATTTTAATTCTATTGTTACCTTTTTGATCTTTCAAAGATGAAAAATATATCAATTGATTACCCAACATGTCACAGGTAATCTATCGAGGGGTCAATGGAGTCAGTTTTATGACTTTAAGTAATTTCAAGAATAGTATTTCCCTTTACATTACACTCATATAATAATATAATATCAGTTCTACAAAGTAAACATCCTATTTCGTTTCAATCCCCCAGATCTGCCGGATTACTATAACATATAGTCTATATACGATGTACATATTACACATAAAGTTTCATTTATTACTTGTAAAATTTTCATATAGAAAACAAATGTATAGACACTCTTGACTTATTGACTGGGAAATATATTGTCCATTTGTTGGGTTTTTTTTTGTCTGGTCTGTTTGTGGTTGTTGCCGTCTATGTATTTTGTCTATAATGACTGACAGAATTGTTATTATTGCCTGCTGCTACTGCTGTTGAAGAGACATGTTAAGTTTTAGAGAATTTCTATAGAAAACTTCAAATAATTTTTCAAACAAGTTTGTGATATTTATGGGAAAAACTTATTTATATATTTTTTTTTATAATTATAATGAAAATACACAAATATCTCTATAGATTAATCAATTTTCAATTAATAATTCTCTGAAATTTAATTATATTTATTTGATATGAATAAAATTCGTAGAGAGATAATAGAGATCATTTAATGAATTGCTTGAAATGGAATATTAAAATGAATGAAGTAATGAAAACAATCATTCAACTTTACTTTAATTAAAAGGTCAGAGTTCAAAGTTTGTGAAAGAAAAAAAGAAATTGTTAAAGCGAAATAAATTAAATTTTTCGAAATTGAAAGTTTCTTTAATAAAAAGGAAAATAAACTACAAATTAAGTTGTTAATTTTTACAAAATTTTCTATTGAAAAGATTTTTTTTACAAAAACTGTTTGAAGAAAAAGTTTTCTATAGAAAACATTTTGAATGAAAGTATTTCTATAAAAAAATGTTTGAACATAAAGAAAACAAATTCTCAGATAAATTGTTCTCTAGAAAACTGTTCTCAGATTTAATTGTGTTTAGAAAACTGTCCTCAGAAGATGTGTTTTTAATGTAAACTGTTCTATAAAGAAATATTCTGTGGAAAACTATACTACGAGGAAGTTTTGTATAGTTAACTGTTCTACGAATAAGATTCCTATGGAAATATGTTCTACGCAGAAATTTCCAATATAGAAAACTGTTCTGCGAAGAAGTTTTCGATAAAAAAGCTCTTCTACGAAATATTTCAATGAAGTAATTTTATATAGAAAAATGTATTACAAAGTTGCTTTCTATAGAATACGATTTTTTTTTTAGAAAATACTGTTCTCAAAAGAGGATTTTTGTGGAAAACTGTTCTATGAAGAAGTTTTCTATAGAAACAACAACGATGAAGTTTTCTCTATAAAACTGATTTACGAAAAAACTTTCCATAGAAAACTGTTTTACTAAGAACGGCAGACTATAAAAACTCTATAGATTTCTCAGACTAGATTTTAGATCAGAAATTGCTTTTTCAGTCAGACTATTGACTAATCAATGTAGATTAAAAACTGATAGACTGATCGATTATTCAAATTATAGAATGATATATAGTGCAAACTAAAAACTGGTATATATGCTGGAGCATAGACTAATCTATAGTCCACAATATAGACTGATGTATAGTCCAGACTATAGACTGATCTATAGTCCAGA